CCCACATCTAAACAAGCTGATAAGAAAGCCCAGGTGATCCTTTCTTTGGCACTGATCAAAAAGTTTAAACCATGCAAACTTCAGTCAGCATGAATAGACCTTTGCTGAAGCTCCAGCTGTAACCATTTTGAAACCCCAAACCAGCCTCCCTCTCTGTGCATTCTCATTGTCAGACCTCTTAGGAGCCTGCCCTTCTCTTCTGTGCTCCCAAGAGAGCCTTTTGGGTTAGTAGTGGCTCCTCCACACTGTCATGTGCATGTGCAAGAACATCAGTCTGGGCATGTGAATCCTTTTTGAATGGGAGGAACATCTTGCCCGTGAGAGACAACCACTGCATATCCCACCCAGCATCTCTGTCCATCCACCATCCATTTCTCACCCAATCTTTGCTCCCTGTTGGTCCCTGTTCCCTTCCTCCATCAAGGCAGAATGGTGTGCCTTTGTCCTATGTCCTTTACCGTCTATCATATGTCCAGTGTGTCTTTGTCCTGTGTCTACTGAACAAGATTAAGATTAAATCCATTAGGGCTCTGGGAAGCTCAGAAATGTTCCTTCCAAAGCAATACTTTCTAGAGACCACAGTCACCTCTCTCTCCACCTCCAGATACACATGGTTGGCTCATGGCCATGTGAAACTGGTGGTATCATTGCCTTAGCAGATAGCATCATTTACTAGGCTAATTCACTTATTATAATGTCCTTAAACTCACTCAGGGTGTAGTATGTGATAGGATTTCATGATTTTTAAAGGCTGGATAATATTCCATTACATGTATATAACAAATTGTCTCTATCATTCAACTGTGGATGGACATTTGGGTTGCTTCCACTTCTTTGCTATTGTGAATAATGCTGTGATGAACATGGTATGTGCGCAGATCTCATTAAGATACTGTTTTGAATTCTTTTGAAAAAATAAAGTGTTTTTTTAAAACCTTATCTGATAGTGTCATTCATAGTCACCTGCTGCTGTAATATGTGCTTACTGTTCTTCCTACTCTACCCTTTGAGAGCTTTCATGAATGGCTTGAGACTCTTTTTTAAATTTAATTTAATTTTATTTTTTCCATAATTTTATTGAGAAACAAACAGCAATGAGACAGTTTCAAATCAAATTGGTAGGACAGTTTCAATGATTAACACATTGCATATATTCTTCCTAGTGGTTAATTGCTGTACAAGATGCAAACATGATATCCTATTTACAAACACCATTAGAATAAATCCCTCTATTCATTAAGAGAATGTAACTATATATCTATCCTAACCACTTTGAATACGCAGATACAAAATGGGCATTCATCTGTATCCCCTTTTTTTAAGTTCCATTATTTGAATATTATAGGTGTGTTAACTCAGCAAAATATTCTAAAAGAGTCCAGTAGTCCATAATAGTATTGGGTCTTCTGTTTAACTGGCAATGTCAGAAATTGTTGACCTGAGTCCCCTACAGCTCAACATAACAGCATGGCTTTCCTTTTTATATTTTGTTTTTATACTTTTCTGCTGGATTGTTAAGACCAAGGTAAAGCAGGACCTATACAACAAGAGTTGTAGCTTTGGGATCTGATAAGGTCAGTGAAATCCCCTCAGGATTTATCCTGAGATCCTGTACCTTAGATTGTAGAACCTTTGTCAGTGTCAGCCATGTGGATGAGTCACGGCCATTGCTTGGCCAATGTGCTCTCTGTAAAAGCCTGAGAGAATGTTCTCTCTCCATGTGACTCTCCTTAGGCACATCATCGATCACTTTCCTCTTTGGCCTTATAATCTCCTTGATCAGAAAATTTGAGACACTACGGAGTTACATGACGTTACAGTACAAAGAACTTAGAATTCTTTACAATCAAAATTTTGAGAAGTTGACTATGTTAAATCTTCGGTGAACCATAGCCATTTCTGTATCTTATCATCTGCACTTTCATCTGTAGATGGTGGCCACAGGAATCTGTCGCTCAGATGACCATGTGATTAGTGGACACTTAATGACTGCTCTTCCTGTGATCCTGGGCCACGAGGCAGCTGGCATTGTGGAAAGCATTGGAGAAGGGGTGACTTCAGTAAAACCAGGTACACTATTCACACTCACTGAATGTGTTTTGGTTCATTATGCCAAGATCATCCAGTCCAGATCAGGAACTGCAGCCTCTGGAGATGTAAATGCTCTCATGGGGCCTGGATGTACTGGACCAGGTGACCCTTTCCCTTTATCTCTGACTCACACATGCTATAAGCAAATGACCATGTATTTTCTCCTTCAACATCTATTTATCGAATTTATACTTGATGCCAGACACCAGATTCAAGCTGGGTATACATGAGCTTCACAAGCACACAGTGCCAGCCAAAGAGGAGTTCATGTTCTAATGACCTCCTTCATAGTGTGACAGAGCACTGTGTCTGTCAAGAGCCAAACAGAACTACAAATGGGACAAGAAAAAACATAGGTTGTGGCCCAGTCCCTACATCAGTATACACAATTGTTCTGTGCTGACTTCACAAAATAGTGCTTCAAGGCTGTGACTGAGTCAGCAGGACCTCTTGTCAGGTGGGGAGTGAAGCCCTCTCACCAACTTCCTCTTCCAATATGGCCACCTTCCTGATCACAAAAGCATAGCCACAGAGCAGAGGGAAGGAACTGAAAGAAAGAGAGCAGCAAGTACGCAGCCACAATGTCAGTTTTAAAATGATGGTTACAGTTAAACTTGACTGGTTACAAGTAAGTAATTATTTCAGTGTAATTCTCAATCCTAATTTTATTATGTAGATTATGTTTTCACAATGAGAATGAATTGACAAAGCATTTACATACCATCACCTTTACATAATATTTGTTCATAAAATGGGATAGCTCAATAATTCTTTCTGGTTTCCTTGAAAAAGCCCCATGATTAAAAATACAAACCATGTTTAATTTTAAAACATCACTTGAGCTACTAGATGAAACTCCATCTTTTCCAAGTACTTTGTTAGATTCTTAACAGAAAATAAAACAGGTAGTATAGCTTTTCTTGGAGGGCATGTTATTGCCTTTAGTTAGAGAAGAATGACAACACATGTTTTCCTTTTCCCTGCCCTATCTACAGCAGGTGTAATAGATTTTCCATTAATTACTAGACAAAAGTATTTGGATTTCAGTTACTATTATAAAAGAAAGCATTTAATTTATTGTTAGGATTTCCAATGGAATCTCTTGAATTCTTTGTGCAATTTTTGTTACTTTTAGCCTAAAGTACAATGAATTTTAGAAGCTTTTACACCATAATAAAGGTAAGCATGGACTTTGAAAACTGAAAAGTAGATTATCAAACTGATTTTAATGTAACCAATGACAGAATCCTTAAGATTTTATTGAAATAATTACATTTATTTTTACTTAATTTTATTTTATGAAAGTTGTACAAAACATATGATCTTCCCAACATCTTACTGAATTTAAAATTTATAAAAATATATTTATAATATTATCTAATTATATAATATAAAATATGATATAATTTTATATGATATATAAAAAAGTATCAGTATATAATGTATTTAGGTTTAGATTGAAGGTTTCATTAAGATTTTAATACTATGATGCATAAAGTTTCCAAGTAAAATCAGTGTACACAATATTATCAACTATTAATATAATGGAAATAAATTTTAGTCCTTGTTGTTATCCACATCTTCATGTGCTCTTGAGATTTCTTCAGACACATAATATAAGTGAACAGTAATGCTCAAAGCATTAATCAGTGATATTCTTGTGACTGGATTCTATTTCTAAGAGAACTTTTTGAAGATATATTTTTCCATGCATAAGCTTTAAGTTCTTTGTGTAAGAATTCCTGGGTAGAAATTGAAAAATAATTCATGGTATTTCCCCTTCAGGTGATAAAGTCATCCCGCTGTGTGCTCCCCAGTGTGGAAAATGCAAAAGTTGTAAACACCCAGAAAGCAACTTCTGCGTGAAAAATGAGTAGGTGTCTTTCTTTTTCTGCTACTGGAGTTGCACATCAGTTGTGCTCTGTCTCATGTCTTTGTGTGCCTGTGTGTCTCACTGAACAGTCTATCATCAGGGCTTCAGGGCAAACTGCAGGATGGCACCACCAGGTTCACCTGCAGAGGAAAGCCCATCCATCACTACCTGGGCACCAGCACCTTCTCTCAGTACACAGTGGTGGATGAGATCTCCGTGGCCAAAATCGATGCAGCCTCACCCCTGGAGAAAGTCTGTCTCATCGGCTGTGGATTTTCTACCGGTTATGGCTCTGCTGTCAAAGTTGCCAAGGTAGGCTTGATCATGTCCGATGACGCTAGGTACACTCAGCCTGACAGCACCCACAGGGAAGCAGTTCCTCGCAGGGATCACAGGTTATTTTCATGGATTTGTGGTATTGACAATTTATAGAAAAGTAGACCTAGCACGAAAGGGAGAACTTGTCCTGTAAAAATTCACTTGTTTATCACAAATGGAAATGTTGTTGATAATTAGGTGAGGGAAAGTAGATTTCCTTTTCAATATTGATTCAATATTTGTTTTCATGAGAATACTGAGTTTAGGGGTCCAGGGAGATATCTCAGTGGAATAAGTGCTTGCCTGGCATGTGCAAGGTCCTGAGTTCAATTTCTGGTACCACCATAAAAAAAAAAGAGAATACTGAGTTTTAGATCTGAGGATTCATTTAGTCATTCATTCTATAGTTACAATGCAGAGATGCACACATTAGGATGACAGGTTCTGCTGAGTTTGAGGGAGCCAATGTGAATAATACATAATAATATACAATAGTAACTTTAAAAATAGGAAACAACCTGGGATACCTCCCCAGGTACCATGTCAGCTGTGCCTCCCTACCCATGATCCCACTGGGGAGGGTTGAAAATAAACCTGCATCCCATCCCCAACAGCCAGGAAACAGCAGCTCTGGCCCACAAGACACAAAAGAACAGTGAGTCCAAAGGTAGATTTTAAGGACAGAACATATCGGTATATTCTGAGTCCTGGACTTCAGTTAACAGCATATGCCAAACCTTATCTGAAACAGTCCCAGATCAAGGGTCACCAACTGTGTAAAAGTAATGATGCATCACATTTCTGTCTATGGGATTTCCTACCTCCCTTGCCACAACATACATACTTGAGAAGTGGTATGCCTCAGTAGAAAATCATTATAGACACCCCTTCCCCAAATGCCATTTGCTTTATAAAACTGAGATCCAGACACATAAAGTTATTTACTCAAATGTTTACATTTGATCTAAGACTAGCATCTCTTCTGAGATTTTGATATGAAATCATGCTTGAAAATTATTTGCACCTTTAAATCACACTATGAAAGCTGTATTGTTAAGCTGAAAATGGTAGTATACCTGATGGCATATAATAACACTTGGTGAAAGAGTGAGTGAGTAGATACCCTTACAGAAATATCACAGTGAGTTTACTTGGAACAGGAATAGTCTATCTATGGAAGACTAACTTCAGAAGATCAGGCTTGTTCAACAGCCACAGCCAATGTAGGCCTTGAGAACATCTGTTGCATATGCCATTTCTAGTTAAATTTCTGAGACCTCAGTCTTAAGCCCCGTTAGTCCTTGTTCAGTGGCTTCTGGATTGTAGAGGTAGTCTAGCTTAGCTAATCTATAAATAGACTAGAAGGATGCTTAGGAAAAGGGTTTCAATGTTATTAAAATAAAAAAAAATTTTGTATTATTGCTCATTATTTTTGAATATCAAGGATAAAGATCTATAAGCATCGCCTTGGCCCCAAGTGTTATTTTTTTCTTTCTTTTTTCCCTGTGAGTCTACAGGGTCTACAGGGTCTCACTGCATAGATCGAACTTGTAGTGATTCTCCTGTTTTCAGTCTCCCAAGTGCTGGGATTACATGCATGCCCCACCATAACCAGTCTCAATTGCCACCTCAGCATGCCCCAGGGGCAGGGCCAGCACAGCATGCTGGGGATTGAACACCCCAGCCCCTGCACCTGTTTGCAGGCACATTAATGTGCTGAGCTATTTGGCCAGCACTTGAATGTTCCCTATTGTTTAAGTCTTTTTTTTAAACAGGGATTCATCTTATATACTTCAGAGCTAATTTCTGTTTTCATTGTATTGCTTATGTCTACTGAAAGTTACATAACTGAGCTAGGAGAAATATTGATAGTGTGAGTAGATTATAGCTCAGCCTCCTGGAGCAACCTCACATATTTGTGTCATCCCCACAATGCTGTGTCTGTTACTTGAAAGTGGGCTTGGCTATCAATGGATGTGAGAGTCTCATCAGGATGAATCACTGGTATTTAGAGCTTACAGCTTGTCTAGTCCACTGGCTCTCAGGGCTTCCCTCGGTGTGCACTGGAGCCAGGCTGACATCTGCAGAGAGTCTGATTTAATTAGCATGGACTGGGCTGGTGAGATGACTCAGTGGTCTAAAGCACCTACTTAGAACAAGCTAAGCTAAGCAAAGCACAGAGACCACGGTTCAATCCCCCAGTACCACATGCCAGCCGGCCCCGCCTCATGGGGGGCTGAGCTGGCCACACACACTAAATAAATAAATAAATATTTAAAAAAATAATAATAATTAGCATGGACTGTGGCAAGGATGCCATGATATTTAAAATCTCCCAGATGAAGTTCATGTGCAATCAAGTTTGAGAACCACTGGTTTAGTTCAAGTGCCTCAATTTAAACCTAAAGGAATTATAGCCAAAAAAGACTTGGCAGCAGGTTGACATGGAGTCTGGGTAGCTCCTGAAAGGTGACAAGGCCTGCTGTTTATATGGCTTAGACACATTCTAACAAACACTAGTAATCTACTTTTGCATTTTCTGCAAACACAGGTCACCCAGGGCTCCACCTGTGCTGTGTTTGGCCTGGGTGGAGTGGGCCTCTCTGTTATCATTGGCTGCAAAGCAGCAGGAGCAGCCAGGATCATTGCAGTGGACATCAACAAAGACAGATTTGCAAAGGCCAGAGAGGTGGGTGCCACTGAGTGTGTCAACCCTCAAGACTATGACAAACCTATTGAGGAGGTGCTCCAGGAAATGAGCAATGGAGGTGTGGATTTCTCCTTTGAAGTCGTTGGTCGGCTTGACACCATGGTATGTGCCAAAATTTGCTTTGCTATCTCATCTTCTGCAATCTAGAATATAGTTCTGGGAAGTACAGGGTAAATATTATATGTAAATATATGTTAGAAATACAATCTTCTGCTTTGTACTCATTAAATTTAGGGTTATGAGAAATCCTTCATTCTATAAGGTAGGAGATATTACCATATATTTCTTCTTTACTGAAGGAAAGTATTTATATTTTAATTGTGCCCTTACCAATTAATATCCTCGATTAGCAGCAAACATAGTTCCACAAGGAAATATAAATAATACAAGTTCCATACTTATGATAGCAAACTTGTTTTTCCAATTCAAATACAGCTTAAATTTTTTATATTTCAATAAATTCTGAAAACTATCCAAAAGAAATAATGCACCAAGTCCACTATTAAGAGAAAATATATCATAAGGAAGAACTTGCTTTAATGAGTCTCTGTATTTTAACACAGTCACATCACCATGCCTGGTAGAGCAAACAAAAAATGCTTTGAAAAGAACAATGAAATATTGCCCCCCAAATATAATGCTTACCTCATAGTACTGTTACACATTACATGAGTGAATGTGTATGAAATAGTTCTCAAGATACCATCTGTCGAGTGTTAAGCTCTGAATTAAAGTCAGCTGGTGTCAATGTGAAATACTATTTCCAAGCTTGCAGTGCTTAGATCAATCTTGAAATTTAAGAGATATTTATTTCAAACTACTTCGAATATCAGTTGCCATGGAGAAAACATCTCTCCATCCATATTTCATCTAGCCAGAGCTCTCTAGAACTCTGCTGAATAAGTCTCCAGAGGCCAACACATCCCTATACTTAGTTTGGTTCTGCCTTGAATCCTGTCTGTGTTGCTAATGCCAAACTATACCTCAGGAGAAAACCTTTTTTGCCTGGGACAACATACTGTGTATGATGGCTGTCTCTGTTACTTTTCTATCATTGCTGAGACAAAATACCCAACACCCCAAATTAAGGAAAGAAAAGTTTATTTAGCTCACAGTTTGTGGAGGTTTCAATTCATACTCGGCTGGCTCTAAGGCAGTGTCACATGGCAGAGGGCAGCAGTGCAAGGAATTGGAAAACAGCAAAGAGCAAAAGGAGGAACTGTGGCAGCTGCAGCCAGCAAGCCCCTCTCCCTTTCTTATATTGTATTCAGTCTATTCATCTCAGGGCTGGTACAGACCTCACATCCATAATCCCAGCATTGAATTAATTAATTAATGACAAACTCTAGAAGCCTGGCCCAATGACTGCATGAGGCTTTGGCGGAAAAACTACCTACAAACCATAACGATAGGTATTTCAAGAAAATCTAACTTTTTCCAAGGCTTTAGCATTCTCTGGTGTGCTCCTTTCTGTTGTTGTTTTCTCACATGGTCAACTCTTCCAGAGTTCACACTTCAAATTCAAAGACTATATCAATTCTATATCTTGATGATTGTAAAACATTCTTTTATTACAAACCACTGCCTGGGGGAAAGGTTTTTGGGACAGCCTTTTGAGATTCTAGCATAATGAGTGTAGTTTAAAATAAAACCAGGATATTTTTCAGGAGTGTAAAATATAACTTAAAATATGTCTTTTAGTAATAGATAATAGAGAAAGTTTTTATAAACAAAAATTATCAAATCATCAAGATAGTAATTATGAATGGTAATTTTTCACTATTAAAAGACAGGCTTGCGGGCCAGTGAGATAGCTCAACAGACTAAGTGCCTGCTTAGGCAAAAGCAGGGACTAGGGTTCGATCCCTGGCACCA